ACCAGCGTCATCGTCATCATCATTGCCTACACCATCATTGCCACCTTCGCTGCCGTCGCCCAGCTCACTGGTGCCAGCACGTCTCGGGTGGGCGGCTGGGATATTGGTAGTGGCGATAAATGTGATCACGCGCGGGTGCTGTCAAAATGAATTCCCCTTTTCATGCCATGCGCAGACTCCACCACCCTCGCGCGCCTGGGGTATCTGCGCACCCTGGGAGATTGTGTTTTCCGTAGTTCGCCGGCACGAGCGTCCATCCTAAATATCGAGCGCCATATACTACCATCCAGCCACACCAGTAGAAATGTGCAGCGCCAGTGACTCTCAAACACAAATGCATAAAACACCGCGTGGTTTTCAACAACAAGTCTTCTATAATCCGTTAAACTCCGCTCGCGCGCACGTCGTCATCACCCTCATTTGGGGCCGTCTCATCACCGCAAGTATCGTCAACGTCGATTGACACCATTGCGATTAATATCAAATTCGCATACATCCCCGGCATGTGAATATCATCGTTGCCGCACTTGGTACCAACATCGGCGCCGTCATCGGCCTTGCCGTCGACATCGTCATCATCGCGAATCTGATCATCGTCGCCGCCATTGCCGACGTTATCACGGTATGGCGCCCGCCCAGGTTCACAGACACGCACTGGAGTGCCCGCGAGCCAGCGCAGCCTTGAAGACGCGCTGGAAAATTTCCATCGATGAACGCCATCGCCGCCGCAATCGTCGTGCCAAACCAGCTGGCCGCTCTGCGCGCGAGCGTGTCCACGCCAGCGTGGCCGCAGAGATACGCTAGGAAGTGACAAGCACTCACCGTAATAGTGGCCGCACGGGTTTTGCCAAGCACGTTACGGGTGGGACGGTGGAGTGTTTGCGCGAGCATTGCAGTAGACGCCTTCAAGGTCTACAAGGTGGATATCGCCAAGTATATCGCACCACATAGGGCGCACATCGAGTGCAACAACCGACTCTTTGAGGCCCACGCTAGCCAGCATTTCTTCCGATTCGCGCATGTAAGTTCATGGTGTCTTCGTCAACGTTTTGTTGGTCCATAAATATGTAATTGTTGCCCTTTTCACACGCTCGCTATTTCTGCTTGTCGAGCGGGCAGGACATTCATGTGGGCGGGTCGAGCGGGCGGGCGGGACATTCAAGCGGGCGGATTGGCGGGACATCAAAGCGGGTCGGAAGGGGTCGTCGTCGTCGTCGCCATCGTCGTCATCGTCGCCGTCGTCGTCGTCGTCGTCATGGTCCGTCGTCGTCGTCTGCCGCCGCGAACGAGGGTGGGTGTGGTCCGTCACCCTCCCCCCCAAAAAGCACGCGTGAGACACACTCTTGCAAATCTACTGGTAACATCCCGGCCCTCCCGTGTGGAGAACGGGCCAATGTATTCCAATGTTGTGAATATTCGCGGGGGGGGGGCACCGCTCCCGCCGGCAACCCCGAACCCCGAACACCGTCGCTGGCAAACGACGCACGCCAAAGGCGCCATGCCCCCCAGCGCGGTGCGCCGATGAGGTGAAGCTGACGTCTGTCGGGGGGGTACCTCCAACGCGTATCGTACAGATGCAGGGTGGGCTAGAACGTGCTAGGGGGCGACCGCCACGCCAAGCGTCCTGGTACCTCTGCAACCCCAAGTACATCGTACCGTCCGTCAGACCCGACTCCGCCAGGTCGCCCGCGGCCAACGGAGCTCCGTCGTACGACGGGTAATCCCCGAAGATCTGCTCGATGTTCGTTCTGCGCCGTGAGGCTCAAAAATCTAATAACCAGCATTCGCCTTCATCGCCATCAAAAACCCAATCACGGCCTCCCACTCCTGCTTCTCATATCAATCGTCTGGATGTTTCACCCTCAAGCCGCCTGGAACTCATCACTGTCGGGATCTCGTCGTCATCGCTATCACCAAGGAATGATCTGGTCCAATCTTCCTTATCAACGCATCCCCGCAGCCACCCGTTCCCCTTCTCCTCCACCTTCCCCTCCTCCACATCCTCATCCTCTTCCGACTCATTCCCCGACCTCTCCTTTCGCCCAAACTTGCGGGGCCTCTTCTTTCCATGGGTTCCTTGCATGCTCGATGAAAGCTCTTCTTCCATACCCATGAACGCCCTCTGCCACCACACCTGCCCAACTTATGCTTTTCCGTTGAATGCCATCGCGCATTGACTTCCCTCCATCTGCCAACTCCTCCCAACGCACCTGCGGACACACCAATCGCGATCGTTAAAATTGGCTGGGAGACCGCCACAGCGCGAAACCTGCACGAAAACCAGGCATCGTTGATACCAAGCTTAGGTGCAATGTTACTGATATACACCAACAGACCTCCTCTTCCACTCCTGGGGCAATCATTCTCTTCACCCACTCTCCTAACACCTGGTCTAGCACATGAATCGAATCCCCCTGTTCCTGAACACGTGCAGTGTGTCTCCCAAGTTCAGCGGCTCCCCAGCTTTGCCTCTCTCGGTGAAAGGCAGCTTCCAGAACGCCTGTTCAAGGGCGCTGTGACGGATCAGTCGATGCAAACGCTGGAAACGAACACGTAAATGAGACAATGGACCTTCGTGATATTCGGCTACACGCCAATGAACGATAGAAACCTGATCAGACAAGAACGGGAAACGCCGCTGTAGTCCAATGGGCTATTGGGCAAAAAAGAAGAACAGGAAGGCAAGAGCGACGAGGAGGTGACGACGAGGACGACGTGGAGAACGTGAGGATGGCGAGGAGGAGCATGAGGACAACGGGGATGAAGAGAAGCACAAGGACGAGGACGAAGCGAACGAGGGCGAGTACGAGAAGGAATGCGGAGGACGATGACGACGACGACGACGACGGAGGACAGTAAGAGGCAATTGGAGAAGGACGCTGAATCAGGAGAGAGTCCTGGTGACCCTGTCGAGCTACCTTGCGGGCTCCTGGTGCCGCGCGTGGTTGCCTTGGGGCCTGTTGGGCGCTTCTTCGGGGTCTCTTGGGTCCTCTTGTGGGCTTCTGGGGTCTTCTTGGGCTGTCTGGGCGCGTCGTGGGGTTGTTTGGGAGCTTTCTTGGGCCGTCCCGGCGCCACCTTGGGCCGTCGTGGGGCTTTCTTAAGCCGTTTGAAGGCCTTCTGGGAAGCTCTGGGGAATCTATCGGGGCCCTCTTGGCCCGTCTTCGGCCGTCTTGGGGCTCTCCTGAGCTGCCTGGGTGCCTGCTGGAGCGCTCTTGGGCGCTGTAGGGGCCCTCTGGGCCGTCTTTTGGGTTCCCATTGGGCCGCTCGAAAGCCCTCCGTGAGCGATTTCAAGAAGATGTCGATTTGGAGCCTCCTCCGGGGCCGACTCGAGCGAGACGGCCATGTTTCCGGAACCTTCCTTGACATGAACGGGAAGCGCGTGAACGTGAAAGCGACGAGCTTTGCAAAAACGTGCAACATCATCACGATACAATGCTATCGCATCTCGGCGTATCCGTCTCCAGACACCATCTCCCCGCTCGCGTTCCCCTATGTCAGGTAGGGACTACTTGTCGTGCGAGTTCAGAAAAAGCGCATCTCCACTGGCGCATCTCGGCATTATCCATCTCCAGACCCCCTATCTCACCCCTCGCGTTCCCCCATGTCAGGTCGAATTTACTTCCCGCGCGAGTTCAGACGAGACTCACCTCCCGCTGGCACATTTCTGCATTTTCCGTCTCCAGACCCCCAACCTCCCCACTCGCGTTCCCCAAGTCGACTTTGCTTTCGGCGCGAATTCAGACGAGGCGCTCCCCCCGCTGGCGCATCTCGGCCTGATTTGTGTCGAGGTCCCCAACCTCCCCACTCACGTTCCCCATGTGTCAGGTCAAAGTTACTTTCTGCGCGAGTTCAGACGAGGCGCACCCCCCGATTGCACATCTCGGCATTACACGTGTCCGGACTCCCAACCTCCCCACTCTCGTTCCCCCATGTCAGGTGGAGTCTACTTTTCGCGCGAGTTCAGACGAGGCGCACCCCCCGCGGGTGCATCTCGGCATTATCCGTCTCCATAATCATAACCTCCCCACTCGCGTTCCCACGTGTCAGGTCGAGTATACTTTCCGCACGAGTTCAGACGAAGCGCACACCCCGCTGGCGCATCTCGGCATTATCCGTCTCCAGACCCGCACCCCCCCCCTCGCGTTCCCCCTGTCAGGTCGAGTTTACTTTTCGCGCGAGTTCAGACGAGGCGCACCTCCCGCTGGCGCATCTACGATGACGACGACGACGGCGGCGACGACGGCGATGATGATGACGACAATGACGGTGACGACGACAGTGGCGACGGCGACAATGACGAGGAATAGGAGGACGACGACACCGACGATGACGATGATGATGGCAACGACGACGACAATAATGACGACGACGATGCAAATGTTGATGTTGTGTCGAGCGAAACGAATACTTGTGAGCGAAATGGTTCAACAACCATTTTTTAATATTGGGACGTCTTGGGGGTCCTCCAAAGAATGCAGCCAATATATGTTGTACGACAGCGTATTGCACATCGCATTGTTTGGAGGATGTCTCAGGCGGCAGCTTCATGCTTGAGTACGACGAATTCGCAAGCTCCCTGGACATCTCCGTTTTTCGAGGATGTTTCGGGCGAGAGCTACATTTTGAACATACGAAGTAAAATAGCAGCTCCTTCGGCATCTATTTGTTTCGAGGATGTTTCAGGCGGAGCGCCCATTTTTGGAGACTGGCGACTTGCGCGAGAGATTTCAAATGTTCCATTGTTCGAGGATGTCTGCAGCGAGAGCTTCATTTTTAACATAAAACGCCCGAAACTAGATCTCCATATTGTGGGGATGTCTCCGGCGGAATGGTCATTCTGGGTGACCCTTCTTGACATGAACGGGAAGCACGTGAAAGCGACGAGCTTTGCAAGAACGTACAACATCATCACGATACAATGCTAGTGCATCTCGGAGAGAGCGCGCCCACAGCGCCGGAGCAAAGGGGGGGGGTCCCCCGTTAGCTACCCCCCCTCCCTTCCACCTCCCCTGCTGGAAGCTCCCCCCCCTCCTCCCCTTTCGCCACTCCGAAGCTACCCCCCCCCTCCCCTCCCCCCCCTCCCCCCTTTCCAAAAGGATGGGGGGCTTAGCTACCCCCCCCCCCCTCCCCTTGACCCCCCTCTGCCGGAAGCTCCCCCTCCCTCCCCCCCTTTAGTTCCAAGGGGGGGGGGGGCTTAGCAAACCCCCCTCCCCCCTCTCCTTTCGGCACCCGGAAAACTACCTCCTCCTCCCCCCCTTCCGAAAGGAGAGGGGAGCTTAGCTACCCCCCCCCTCCTTTGACCCCCCTCTGCCGGAAGCCCCCCCCCCCCCCTTCCCTCTATTTTTCTCCCCCCTGCCGGAAGCTCCCCTCCCCTCCCCCCTTTCCAAAAGGGGAGGGGCGGCTTAGCTAGCACCCCCCTCCTTTGAACTCCCCCTGCCGGACGATCCTCCCCCGTCGCCGTCGTCGTTGCCGTCGCCGTCGCTCGACGTCTTCGTACGACGCACGACCGATGACCGACGACGACGACGACCCATGGTCAGAGAAAACGAGACCACGACCCAAGGGCAGAGAAAACGAGGAAGCGAAGCAGGGTCCGAGAAAAAAGACACCACGGCCCAAGGGCAGAGAAAACAAGAAAACGAACCAGGGTCAGAAAGAACTAACCAGGGTCCGAGAAAACGAGACCACGATCCAGGGGCAGAGAAAACCAGGAAACGTGAAACGAACCAGGGTCAGAAACAAATTATCCTGGCGATGGACCCAACCATATGCAGTTGCGAGTACCGCAAAGCAGGTTGGGCGAATGAGAGGGAACTCCCTAAGGGGCCACGAAACGTGTGAGGGGTGTGCCGAAATTGGCGCGGTGCCGCCATGCGGACGCAGCCACTGGGGCCTTCGGTGGAGCTCCTTATGGAGCCACGAAACGTGTGAGGGGATTGCCGAAATGGGCGCGGTGCCGCCATGCGGACGCAGCCACTGGGGCCCTCGGTGGAGCTCCCTATGGGGCCACGTAACGTGTGAGGGGTGTGCCGACATGGGCGCGGTGCCGCCATGCGAACGCAGCCACTGGAGCCCTCGGTGGAGCTCCTTATGGGGCCACGAAGCGTGTGAGGTGTGCCGAAATGGGCGCGGTGCCGCCATGCGAACGCAGCCATTGGAGCCCTCGGCGGAGCTCCCTATGAGACCACGAAACGTGTGAGGGGTGTGCCGACATGGGTGCGGAGCCGCCATGCGAACGCAGCCACTGGGGCCCTCGGTGGAGCTCCCCATGGGGCCACGAGCCGGGTGAAGGGTGTGCCCACATGGGCGCGGTGCCGCCAGGCGAACGCAGCCATTGGAGCCCTCGGTGGAGCTCCCTATGGGGCCACGAAGCGTGTGAGGGGTGTGCCGACATGGGCGCGGTGCCGCCATGCGAACGCAGCCACTGAGGCCCTCGGTGGAGCTCCTTATGGGGCCACGAAACGTGTGAGGGGTGTGCCGATGGGGCCTTCCGTGGAGCTCCTTATGGGGCCACGAAACGTGTGAGGGGTGTGCCGAAATGGGCGCGGTGCCGCCATGCGGACGCAGCCACTGGGGCATGCCGCCATGCGGACGCAGCCACTGGGGCCCTCGGTGGAGCTCCCTATGGGGCCACGAAGCGTGTGAGGGGTGTGCCGAAATGTGCGCGGTGCCGCCATGCGAATGCAACCATTCAGGCCCTCGGTGGAGCTCCCTATGGGGCCACGAAACGTGCGAGGGGTGTGCCGAAATGGGCGCGGTGCCGCCATGCGAACGCAGCCGCTGGAACCCTCGGTGGAGCTCCTTATGGGGCCACGAAACGTGTGAGGGGTGTGCCGAAATGGGTGCGGTGCCGCCATGCGAACGCAGCCATTGGGCCCTCGGTGGAGCTCCCTATGGGGCCACGAAACGTGTGAGGGGTGTGCCGAAATGGGTGCGGTGCCGCCATGCGAACGCAGCCACTGGGGCCCTCGGTGGAGCTCCCTATGGGGCCACGAAACGTGTGAACGCAGCCACCGGGCCTTCGGTGGAGCTCCCTATGGGGCCACGAAGCGTGTGAGGGGTGTGCCGAAATGGGTGCGGTGCCGCCATGCGAACGCAGCCACTGGGGCCCTCGGTGGAGCTCCCTATGGGGCCACGAAACGTGTGAGGGGTGTGCCGAAATGGGCGCGGTGCCGCCATGCGAACGCAGCCACTGGAGCCCTCGGTGGAGCTCCTGATGGAGCCACGAAACGTGTGAGGGGTGTGCCGAAGTGGGTGCGGTGCCGCCATGCGAACGCAGCCACGGGGGCCCTCGATGGAGCTCCCTGCGGGGCCACGAAACGTGTGAGGGGTGTGCCGACATGGGTGCGGTGCCGCCATGCGAACGCAGCCACGGGGGCCCTCGGTGGAGCTCCCTGTGGTGCCACGAAACGTGTGAGGGGTGTGCCGAAGTGGGTGCGGTGCCGCCATGCGAACGCAGCCACTGAGGCCCTCGGTGGAGCTCCCCATGGGCCAACGAAA